TTCTTTATCCTGTAGTGAGGTTTCATCTTCTCCGACTCAAGAGCAAGATCCACCAACCTATTTGCTTCCTGCTCAGAAGGGTGATGTGTTGAGATGAGAATACCATGAGCATCTTTGAGGGAGAAGCAGCACACCCTGTGTTAAGAGTCCTTAGGTTTTACACTGCTATATCAGCATGCCAAATAGTCCTCAGCCAACAAGTCACCATTCATCACCCAGGGATGTCTTACCCTCCAGACTGCAGTGCTGTCATGAGCAGGCCTGTGTTTCTCATGCTTTTGCTCTTACTTAGATGGAAAGAGATGTGACCAGGTAAAACTGGTTAATTCTGTCTCCCGTTGCTGTTCCCGCATGGCCCTTTCCACTAGGTCCTCTGTGGAGCCCTTGACCTGGCTTCAGAGACTGTCCTGGTCTTGTTGTCTCTGCTAAGAGGCATAAGTCTCCCCTTGCTTCCTCCCCTAAGTCTAAGAACACGCTAAGTGTTGCCGCCCTTAGCATGCAGCCTAGTGACTCAGCATCTACCCATGGGAGTAGAAGAGGCAAAACATTCACACACTGGGTGCGTTCAGACGGGGCCTTTCTGCCGGCATAAACTGCACCGGTTGGAACCGGTGCAGTTTATGCCGGCAGAAACGCGATCACACTTACCTCCATTTTGCGGATCCCATCGTTGTATGCCCGGTCACACGCTGTTGTCGTCGGCGTTTTTTTTTTTTTTTAAAAAAAACACAGTTTGAGCATGCGCATAGGCAGCCATTCACAGAATGGCGATCTTTGCGCATGCTCAAACCCCCCCCCCATTACATTTAAACTTTAAAGGTAAGGACTTACCTTTAAAGTTTAAAGCCCAAACTGGCCTCCCTTAAGTCCCGGACTCCTCTGGATAGTTAAAGTAAGGGCTTTTTTTTTTTTTAACAAACGCTCAGGGCGAAGCTTCGCCCAAGCGCATATCGCTCAGTTTTTTTAAAAAAAATGGCAGGGGAAAAACGGAAGCCTCAGGTTTCCGACGGAAATGGCTAGGCACCGGTGGAGCGCGATCAGACGGCGAGGTACAGCGTTTACAACCGTTGCACTCAGGATACCACCACTTGCGACCTAGTGCCAGAGTGCAACGGTGTAAAGGGCTTTACACCGGTTAGGGACAGGAGGCAGATGTTCCCCATCTGAACGCCGGTGAGTACAACGATTGCAACCGGCACCTATACCGATGTAAAGCCCCCGTCTGAACGCACCCACTGAGGTTCAAGAAGATCTAGATCCTCCTTGCCTTCAGTTATGGAGGAAGAAAGGGAGTGGTTGATCTTTTCAGAAGTTCTTGGGTAAGGTTCTGTTGAGAGCCAGTTCGGTATAGCGGTTAGGAGCGTGGTCTCTAATCTGGGAGAACCGGGTTTGATTCCCATCTCCTCCACATACAGCTGCTGGTGTGACCTTCATAAGTTCTTTCAGAGCTGTTCTCTCAAGGGCAGGTCGCAGAGCTCTCTCAGCCCCACCTACCTCACAGGGTGTCTGTTGTGGGAAAGGGATTGTAAGCTCCTCTGAGACTCCTTTGGGTAGTGAAGGGCAGGGTACAAATCCAATCTCCTCTTCTTCTTCTCTTCTATTGGTACCCTCTGACACAAGCAATACTCTGTCCGCTTCTAAAGTTCTCTAGGCCGTGTGGGTTTGGGTCGGTCTTTTCCCTCAGTTTCTGTATCTGCTGCTACTATGACCGAATACTCACAAGCCACTGCTCTGCCCTTGCGTTTCCCTTTGCCCCAATCACATTAGTCAATTTCCCACTTCTTGCTGCACGACCGCATTTTGCCCCGCAGCTTCACCTGATTTCCCCCGCGTCTACCCGATCTTCAAAAAACAGGATCGAGTAGACATGGGGGAAATCGGGCAAAGCTGTGGGGCAAAATGCGGCTGCGCAGCAAGTAGTGGGAAATTGACTAATGTGATCGGGGCAAAGGGAAATGCAAGGGCGAAGCAGTGGCTTGTGAGAAATCGGTCAGTGATTCTTAAGGAAGAAGTGGAGTGAACGTGCTAGAGCTAGATCTGATCCTCATGTCTTCAGAAAATTCTACTTTGCTTCAGGATGTTTTGTCAGAGCTGGAAGTGCTGAAGGATGACAACAAAGTTGCAGCTTTTACTTTCAACTCTGTTATCTCCATTGATTCTAATTAAATGACATATGACCAAAAAGAATCAACATGCTGAGATGGAGTTTCAGCTGAGGCTATGAGAACACTGCTGCCTTGTCTATTTTTGCAAGAACAGCTGCCATGAGAAGGAAGCACACTGAGTATTTTGTGTGGTATATTACTACAGCTGCACTAGAAATGCTTTCATCTGCCAATCTGTTGAAATCTAAAAATATATCTCTGTAGGGTGGCATGGTAAGGAGCAAGTAAATGAAAGAAAGCTTTTGAGTATTCTTGAGTTGCTCTGAAACCACATATTTGGGTCGGAAACCCCCCCCCCCCAAACCTGGTAGAAGTTCATTATTGTTCCTGTAGTTTCTGAAGACTGACAGTACCACTGAGTACAGAGTGAAAGGCACCATTCTGTGTGTGCAGTGCTTCAAATAATCTACATGATATAAAGGTTACTACTCATTTGTTATTTCAAACAAGATTTCCATCTTGGAGTAGAGACTGAGTAGTTTGGCCAAACAGCACATCCATTTCTTAGGTGATACATACAGCCACATACCTTTCCATTTTGCCTTTCCTTCCATAGGTATGATACAGGGATGATGACAGAATATGTAGTCTAAAAAAGGCATCAGAAATTTTACATTTACCATTTAAGGCTGTTGGATCAGAGTGATTCCTTTTAACAGCTGTGATTTATTAGTAAAGTGGAGATATTGGTGAAGGACTTCAACAACTGACTTTTACTAGAAGAGCTGTCTGTTTGATCCTTTATTTATTTATTTAGTTTGGATTTCTTTATACCGCCCTACCCTGTGAACGGGCTCAGGGCAGCTTACACCATATTATAAAACAGTACATGAATCAGAACGCCATAAATTTATGCTAACTGCAGCAGAATGCCAAGGAGCAAATACAGATATCTTTTTATAAGCTTGGTGATAAATGATTAGGACTATTCTTGACTTTCATTAAGTTCAGAATAAAGCTATAGTGATTAATTGAATTGATAGCTTGTCTAAATTTGTTTCTAAAAAGTGTAAACACCCAATATTTTAAATTTTAGATTAGTACTGGGTTCCTACTCGCTATGTAACAAAAATCTCCATAAATTCCATAGATGATACTGCATATGAAATAGCTGACTGTCAAAAGAGTGAATTGTTAAGTATTCTATCTCCATTAGCAAGACTCCAGTTTAATTCTAGATAGTGTCAATTGGATTCTTTTATTCGCACTTTGTGCTGGCTACTTTTCTAAGAGCATCTTCTCTTGGTTGCTTTCTGAATTCGAAGATCTGGTGTTGGCTTATATCTTTCCACAGTGAGGCCCTCTCCATTGTCTAGTGTGTTTAAAAAAAAAAAAAAACAACAACCAATTTTGTATACATTTTCTCTTGTTCTGTCTTTTGAAATAATATCTGTGAAAACTAGGTGTCTCTCAAGTGTGGATGGATGAGAAGAAATTAATATATACTCTGCCCATCTAGTGGGCTAAGTGCTTCATACTTTATTTATTTAAACACTAGTCAGAGAAGTCTTCCAGTCAGCCACCCCTTTGCCTGATGTTTGTGCTGCCACTGCTGAATGCTTCGTGATTCCTGAGATGAGAGATGGGCACCTCGATGTCTGGTAGCGTTACTGGCATCAGAATCTCACAGAGAGCTTTGGAGTCGAGCAACAGCCTTGCCTTCTGTCTTATGCTTCTACTTGCCAGCCAAAACTGTCAGCAGCATGAAAACAGCTTAGAGGAATGAGGAGAGCAAATAGAAAGTAGCTGAAATCAGGCAGTTTAGGTTGGCTGCTTCTTCCTTTCACTCTGATTTACACTAGACTATATCCATGTCAGTCGTTTGACTGACATTGTTTTCAGTAGGTATGGTTACTCTGAGTGCAGACAAATATAGCTCCTTTCTTATGGTGTTCTGATGAAATGTATACCCCTTTTTTTAGCCTCTTTTTGCAGCATAGTTTCCAGGGACTAGGATGCTTCCCCCATGTGCTTACAAATGGCTTTCTGGAGGTCATCAATTCATAGGGTCATTATAAGTCAGAAACGACTTGGTGGCACATAACAGAAACCATTAGATGTTCTTGGGGATCATGTTCTCATGATGACAGAATTAACTGTTCATCTAGT